ATCCACTTAGAAGATCTCTTCATGTAGTCTCCTCCTAGGCAGTAAAGTAAAGTCGCAGACGCTATATTGGTGGAGCATGCTTGAGGAGGGAGGTCCAATCGACGTCCGCTGCAGCGTGGAGAGAGGTGGACAACCGTCTCCGGAATAGATCGGGGTTTCTAGGCCAAGCGGCGCGCTCCAAATATTCAGCAAATAATCAAGTCAACCGGCTTGGCTAGTGGAGGAAAGCTTTCTTCGGAATAGATTTGTGCAGGTGGAGCTTTGTATGTACGTACTCTGTGCAAGATCCACAAATACTCGCCAGGAGGGGCTTTTGAAAAACAAAAGAGGGAGTAGTATGGCTAGTAGCATGGTCCGAGTGCGTTACGTCGGGCTGGGGGTGGACTGTCAACGACAATGGCTGTGCGAGAGAAGGTTTACCTGGGACCCAAGTCAAGCTGGGCGAGTTTGTGTCTTCTCCTCTCTTCCTGAACACTTAACTCACAACGAACGCAATCATCAGCGCCGATCTCGGAATTGCTGAGCCTATTGAACGCTGCATATCACAGTTATCTTCCACTCCATCATCGGACAACTTAATTCAGGTTCGAAGTCACTTCACGAATAAACGCGAGCTGCTTCATCGGATCTTCATTGAGAGCGCTCACGAGCTGCTTTTGCATCTGTCACTGACCGCAGCCACAAAACGCTGCTATGACCAATTTCCTCATCCTGCTTCAATTCATCTCTTTATACACTTTTCACGAGGTCTCAAAGCAAGTATGGCGAAATTTGACATAGCCAAAGACTTCACGGTCAAATATGGCGGAATTCATCATTGCTTCTTCATGACGGGATAACAAAATTTCTGCATTATTCTCGGGACAGTGAACTCAATGACTCGGTAGCTGAAGATTCGATAACTCGGTGACAAGATAATTCGGTGACTCGGGAACAATCATGAGCTCGGTGACAGCAAGACCGATGACATCATGACTCGGGAACTCAGTGAATGAAAATAACAAGAGCGGAGAAGCGATAGATGGAAACGGAAAGCTAAGCGGCCGGAAAAGAACATGAACTAGAAAGGTAAACGAAGGCGAATAGAATGGCAAGTTTATGTAAACGTTATCGCTTGAAGAATGGAAAGAGAATATTGTGAACGGAACTTGGTGATATGGTGTACTTTACCTTTACCTTGAGATGTATTAACTTAGTATAGGGGAATGATCACTTTACCTTGTACTTTACCTTGTGCTTTGGCTTATGTACAGTTCATGAGATGGTAGAGTAGATTAGTATACGATGCCGTGGGGCTTTCTGTGCAAAATAAAGTCGCTAAATATTATTTCTAAAGCAATGGTCTCATAGCAGAGGCGGAATCGAGCGAATACGGAGAGTTGGGAGTTAAGTACTGCGGAATTTGTAGGGATTTACAAGGCAGGTTTAGAATTGCGCTGGGACCGTAAAAGTTCTTACTGATGACACTAGATATCAATAATATAGTTGGAGAATGATATAGGTAGCGGTGTTTGCCACGCTGTGCCGACAGAAAGACACCCGGTCACACCGGCTGCCATGAGTCATGGCTATCTCACGGATGAACCGTAACTTATAACTCCGTCGCTCAGTGAAATCGCCAGTTCAGAAACGCCGTCAACCGTGCCTACTCCAGACACCCCTCCCTACTCCTCATCCCCAACGCCAACATTCTGCGGCCCCCACAACACCCCCCGCGGATCCACCTTCCTCCTAATCCTCAAAAGCCGCCCATACTTCTCCCCATAATACAACCGATGCGCCTCCCTCGGCGACAGCGTATCATCAACATAGTTCACATACGCCCCCCAGTCGCCTACATACCCACTCCCGCTCTCCCCCTCACTCGCGCCCGTAAAGCTGCGCACAAGGTCGTCCATATACCCATACCCCGCGTCCGGATACTCCCCCGCCCCCTCCGTCGCCCCCGTCGGCCAGGGGAGACTCATAAGCTGCAACGTCCACACCGCGTCCTCGGCGCCATAACTACTCCCCACCGCGGGCTTCGGGAGGTCATACAGATCAAACACGACATACACGCCCACCGGCGCCGTCGCCGCCGTCTCCTCCATAAACTCGAAGAAACCCCCCACAGCCTCCGCCGGGAGCGCGCGCGGGTACGTCAGCGACTTTGCGAAAAACAAGTCATGCCGATCGTAGTCCACCGGCTGCGGCAGCGCCTCGCCGTTGGTGAACGAGCGCAGCGCGGCGAGATACGGCAGCTCCGCACTCCGCGCGACGGTGTCTTTTGGCCATAACGCGAGCAGCGGCGCGATGAGCGTGTCGAACGCGGCGGCGGGGCCCCAGTACGCGCCGGAGACGATGAACGCGTCCACCCGCGGCGGGACGACCAGCATCCGCACCGCCAACTCCGGCGGGGCGTGGGCGAGCGCCCAGTTCTGCAGCACGGCGAACACGCGCGCCCGTGCCGCCGGCGTCGTCGCGGACGGGAAGGAGCAGTTCCACACCACCGCCCCCTGTGGCGCCGGATGCGTGGCGACGGTGAGTGCGGTGACAACGCCGAAACTCTCCCCCGCCCCTCGCAGCGCCCAGAATAAGTCCGGGTGCGACGCGGCCGTCACCGTGGCGAGGGTCGAGTTTGGGAGCACGACGTCGAGGGAGCGGATGGCGTCGAGGGACGTCCCCCACATGCGTGACGTGTAGCCAAACCCGCCGTGCAGCGCGTGCCCGGCCAGTCCAACGCCGGGACAGAGCCCGTGCGGGATCGCGCGCCCGACGGCGTGCAGCGCGGTGGCCACGTCGCCGAGCCGTCGGCCGGCGCCGATGGTGGCGAGGTATGGTGGTGTGGGCGCCGGGGCGAGGGTGCGGAAGTGCCGCAGGTCGAGGATGAGTGTGGCGGAGAGGGAGAAGGCGGCGTAGGAGTGGCCGCCGGAGCGGACGGAGACGGTGGCGGCGTGGAGGGTGGCGCAGTGCAGGGCTGCCGCGATGTGGGTGCGCGTGTGGGGGAGGGCGATTGCGAGGGGGGCGGGGGAGGGGGGGGTGCGGAGGTTGTAGGGTGTGCTGAGGGAGGGGTAGGAGGGGGAGGAAGGGGTGGAGAGGGGGATGGAGGCGGCGTGGAGGCAGGAGAGGAGGGTGGCGGTGAGGGGTGTGGCCGCAAAGAGGAGAAGGAGGAGGGGGAGAAGGGGGCGCATGGTGGAGATGCGATGTGACTGGCGGCGCGGGAAACGGGGGGGAGGGGGTTATGTAGGATGGGATATAGGCTAAGTTGAGGTAGGACAGCTAGGAATGGAACGCATGAAGTTGGATATCAGTGCGCGCCTGGGGATGCTTCCCGGGTTCCAGAGTTGGTTTTTGCCGGATCAGCTTCTCTGGGAAGTATACGGTTGCGTGGGGATTGGGCGTGGGGAAATAGCGTAGCATTAACTGGCTGGCTGGATGCTGTTGGCGTACACGACCGGGGATCCACCGCCACAGCCACAACCATGGCAATTACGGAATACTGGCAGTCCTACTAAACTAGAGGTTACACATTGATCTATCGCGCAGATCACCCCATTTTGTGAAAACATGTTGTTTAAGGTTGCGATGTCCTCCTGATCCCGGGAGTAAGCACTTTGGTATGTGCGTTTATCACGTGCAGATCACCGTTGGGTATCTGGGGATGTCGACTGGCAGTGTTTTGCACTCGCATTTCGTCACGGGCAGCAGTTTGGTACCGGTTCCCACCGTGCAGCTCGGGAGTCGATGGGGGATGAAGTTCTGTGATGGGGCATTTGGCGATGCAACAGAATAATTTGTATGCGGGACAACCCAGGAACTCTCATGTTGTCGGAAGGTCATTTTATAAATGAGAGCTCGTAGTATTAAGTGATGTGTACAGAATTGAGAGCAGCTTGCAGCAAAATCCAGAACCTATATCCATCATGAGTACCCGGCCCCACTTTGTCGCGACATGGACCTTTCGACACATGTAATCCGCCTGAGCAAGTGGTTGATTGGTTGAATTCATCAGTCAGTTTATCACTCGGTTGACGAAGTGAGTCAAAATATGTCTTGATGGTTCGTTGAACGGGTCAATCAAAAACTTGACCATATCTTTGCAATTAAGTAACTCAAGATTATTCCACGCTGACGAGATTCGTGTGTCTGCTTGGAAGAGAACCTATACAGCAAGTGGAGGGCTGACTTCGAGACGTGGAAATGTGAAGACGCAGGATATGCAGCGGAACGATACAGGGCGAGACGGGCTGTCGAGATTCACCAATGTGAGCATAACTAGAAATTGGAGTTCCACGACATGGTGTATATTGAAATAGCCCAAGCGTATCTACTCCCCGGGGTAGGGCGCGAGAAGCGGGAGTTTAAAGCATCAGGTATCGCAGAACGGAGGGTCAAGATCGGAATGAGCCAACCAGCGATCAGGAAGGGTGTATCCCCATACTTGCGTTACGTTCATTGACTCGATCTTCGATGTTTGCAACACTCTTCCTCCCAGGATCCCCCTTCCAACCATATCATGAACCTGGGCAATATTCTTCTTTTCGAACCCTCGGGCAACCAGTTGATGAAGCAGAGCATTTGATGTATCCATCGGAAAATGTTCAGATACCAATCAGTCGAAAACTGCTAGAAAAATGACCGGTCGTAGCACGAGCGGCACTATGGCCACCGTTGTGGGATCGGTTGCTGGCAATCATTCAATAGAACCAACGCAACGCTCACCGCACACGGTGCTGGACATTGCGAATGTGTGTTTACACGCCGCCGCTACTTGCCTATCTTTACATAGAAGCCCGCTCACATCTCATTAACCATAAATAACGCGAGTGCAGGGCTAGACTTTAAGACTGGCATGCACAATTCTAACTTTCCAACTGCATCTAGAGTCGCTCTACACGTTGTTACCAAACGCGACACTGAAACAGCATTCACCTTAACGCACTCCATCCCAATCCTCTGCCTGTTAGCCCTACCACCGTACTGCCATCTTACTGCACGGAGCCGCTGGGATTAACATCGCTTCTTTGGTAGTATAGTGGTTAGTATACCCGCCTGTCATTACCGTCCAGTGACTGCCCGCGGGTGACCGGGGTTCAATTCCCCGCCAGAGAGTAATCCTTTTGCCCTCTTTTCTGCTGACGGCGGGGTGGCGCGGTGGCGCAACCACCGGGTCGTGCGCAGTGATCATCGCGGGAGCCACCTTGAAGTACTGCGATAAATGGAGCTAGAAACGCCGGAGCGGTGCTACCATTCATTTTATTTGTCTGCAGGCGGGGTCGAGCAATCGGAAGTGCTCAGTACACGACCTGGTTTCGCTGCGACGCGTTGTCCACCGTGCAGCATCATCGCGGTTCAATCGCCCGACCCCAGTAGTACCACACGCAAGCTGCGCCTTGTAACGGACCCAGGTTGAAGACGGCCCTGGACATATGGTACGATACACGGTTGATTATATATACAATTGCCATGGCAGCGAGTGATAGGGATGCGTTTGCGCCGGTTGAACCAACAGCAGAAGTGTCAATCCGCGTGGACAAGCGGAGTTCCGCCGAGTTTTCATCTAGATGGTCCTGCACATAACGGTTAGTTTTCACTTGAGCGGTGCTATAGAAAAAAGGCGGGTAAAGTCTTTCGTTGAGAATCCAGTGCTACGGCTTTTGGCGGTGCAACGTCTGTACGAAACGTCACGCTTATTTGTCGTTTTTGTTGAGTCAGTTTGTCAGCTATGTAGCTTGTACCTACGTGTTTTCTCTGGACTGACACTGTTACTTACACTTGATCGATAACTATGCAATACAACTTGTTTTACTCATCGTCAGAGAAAACTGTTCTTACTTAGGTTTCATTAGTCATGCAGGACCGAGAGGCCTTTGCCCTCTGGGACTGTGGTAGCTTAGACCGAATGGGACCGCGAGAAAAGACCGCTGTCCGAACCATTGAAGACCGGACTGTTGGAAACACTGACTTGACTCCGTCGGGACATATTTGGATACACGGTGGTCAAACCCTGCGGGAAAGATGATTGGGCGCTTGCAACGATGCAAGAAATCAACGCTAATTCCATCGTTCAAGGAGCTGACTATTGAATGGGTCTTCCCAAATTTCCAGCCTTCCCATCTTTTTAGCAGCCGGTACGTACTACATCTAACCCAGCCCAACGCGAGTGCACCGTTGCCCCGCTCGACACTCCCGTCCACCGTCCCTTACTGCGCTGGACCACATAGAAAGACCGGCATGCACCCCTCCGACTTTCCAATCGTGCATCCGTTGTTCTGTGCAACGTTGTTGCAAAACTCAGGATTGAGCCCATGGACCACAGCATACTTTGTGGAAACATTTTGCACGCCGCCGCACAGACCTCCATCGCTTCTTTGGTAGTATAGTGGTTAGTATACCCGCCTGTCATCGATCCTCAGATCATGTCTGCCCGCGGGTGACCGGGGTTCAATTCCCCGCCAGAGAGTACTATTTTTGTTGGTGTGGTGGCGACTGCGGGGCGGCTTCAGCAGTGCGGAGTGAACTGCGGACGTCACGGCTGAACGTGGACAGAAGTTTTGTCGCACTGAGCAACTCAACTCTACCTGGCTTAGCGTACTGAGGGGATGTATTTACAGATGCAGAATCAATATCATTATACACAGTCATTTTTGTACTTGCAGCCGTGTTTGGACGCTCGATTCCAGTAGTACCACCTGCACGCCGGGCGTGACGCACGAAGGTTTGTGGATAGCGCTGGATGGTAGATGGTCCATTACGGGTTTGTTGTATGTTTGGTAATGGCAGCGAGTTATAGGGGTGCATGTTTGGCAGTTGGAGAAACGGCAGTGGTGTAAATCCGCGTGGGCGGGTGCAAATCGAAATCGACGGTGTTGCCCAAAAATTCAGAGTCAGGTTTACACTCAAGGAGTGATGTAGTAAGACAGCGGGAGCGTTAAAGTATTTTTCGTAGAGTCTATTGTTACCGCGGTGCTGATTGGTACGTTCGAACACATTGGCGATTCTGTTCACATGTGACTTGGTAACTATCCATAGATGTGAAGCGTCATCACAAGATTCCAAATGTTTTTCAATAGCTTCCAATATCTGACATATCGGCTGTCGACATGTGTTACGACGCTTGAAAGACATTCGGAAGAGGCTCGATGACGGGGACCAAAGAAAGAACTGAAAATCCGCTCGGGCCAAGCTAGCCACTTCACACACCCTGTCGTCGTTTAAGGAACAGAAGTCGTTTCAAAGTCTCCACATTCTTGAAGTGTGCAATCCTGCATCATCGATGGTTCAGGTTTTTATTGGGCAACACCCCCTGACGTCTACAGAACGTACCGACAACGCACAGTCAATATGTCTGACCAGCGGTTTCATAGTAACATGTATGGCAATGGCGTAGCGGCTCTTTCTCCATCGCCAGAATCCGATTCTCCGAATTCTGTGTTGCGGAACACCCGTGTTGGTCCTGACTAGTGACTTGCCAGATGTCACGACCATGTAAGGCTCGATCCCATCGTCCCTATCTCCGCTCTCCGCTTCTCTCAGTGTCCACTACTGCCACATCTGCTATACAGAACGGTTGCGCCAGTAGTCCAACGCCATTTCCGGCAAATCGACCATGTGCGTAGTCACTGCGAATTCTCGGGCACTCGTCTTTTCACCCCTCAGGCACAATCGTAAACCCACGCCGTGCTCCATACAGAACGCAGTGAAGCCTCTGACACTGAGCGTCTCACGCTACAAATGCATCCGTATTCGCTACACCCAACGACGCTGAAACGGTGTTCTGGGTGCGGAGTGGAAAGGTAATCGTGCGTTTCGGGTACGAAACTGCCGTCGTCGTTCGGACGAAAATGCCAACGGTTCAGATAAAATGTTTGGCTGCGCTGTTTTGCTGGACGAAAGTGCGGACAGTGCAGCCTGTATCAAGAGTTCCCGGCGTAATTTCGCGAGGCTCGACCGGGGAAGGAACACGAAGACATCGCTACGGATGGGCGTGAATCGGCTTGTCGCAGAGAACAGCAGCGATGGCGTGTATCCACATCCGGCTCCACAGCAGTAGCGCTGAACCGCAAAACAAGGTCCCGAACAATCCAGTAACTCACTCCATGGCGTCGTTCCCAACGCCCGACAGGAGTGTCGATTCTGCACATTACATCACTCGGATTTAACTCTTGGCATGTGTTCATCACTGGAGTTCCGCGCTGAGTGCAACTTACCGACCTCGTTAGAAGCGCTGATCTGGTACTCGTACGTGCAAATCGATAAAGTAGGTGCAACACAACGTTCCTTCGTTTATTTGTACTCGTGAGTTCTTGTTCACCACATTCAGGCAACTGTACACAGCCCGTGCAAAAACATAAAACCATTACGACTGCAACCCAGAACTGCCAACTAGAGTGTAACTATTTTTCACGACCCCAAAAGATGAAAATGTAACTTCTAGGGCTCAATTTCCATTCATGGCGCTTCTGAATGCTGCCCTACCGCCCACACCCACATCCATTGAAAAATGCTCCAACGCTAAGCCCCTTGGGCCGCATCTTCGCACACTCCCGACACTGGCTGTTCTCCAGCACCCTTTTCGCCAGCGCCACTGCGTCCTCCAGGCTCGCCAGCCGGCGCTTCTGCAACGGGCCCAGCATCGTCAGCGCCTCCTTCGCCCCGCGGCGGCTCAATCCAGTATCCAGACTCTCCCCCTCCGCGGGCGCAGCGGGGGCGTCCGGCGAGTCGTACCACGGCACCCAGCGGTGGGTCTCGACCGCGTCGGCGAGTGGGCCCACTTTGTCCAGTAGCGTGCAGTGACGGCGCCACCACGCGGCGGCGATGTCGGCGGGGGTGCGGCCGGCCGCGGGGGTGTGCGCGAGCAGCAGGGCGGCGCAGGCGGCGGTGGCAGTGCGGCGGTCCGCCATTGCAGCGTGGACGGGGAGGTCGCCGGCGGCGTTGGCGGTGAGCAGCGCCGCGCTGGGGGCGTGGGCGAGCACGGCGGCGAGTGCGGTGAGTTGTGGACAGCTTTCGCGGACGGACAGGAACGCTGCGAGGGGGGTGGCGCGGTCCCCATGGCGGCGCTGGAGCCAGGCGGTGGCGGGCGCGGCGAGGGCGGCGAGCCAGGCGGTGAAGTCGGCGCCGGCCGCGGGGTGCGGCTCGGCGTGGAGGGTGGAGAGGATGATGTGGAGGGCGTTTTGGCCGTCCAAGCCTTGTGTGAGAGGCTGGAGGCGGCGAAGGTGCTGGGCGGAGGGGAGTTGGTGGCGCCCGACGGCCAAAGTAAGGGGGGTGTGGCCTTTGTAGTTGCACGTGTGGCCACAGCGCTCGAGCGCCCAGTCGAGCATGGCGGCGTGGGCGGCAGCGGAGGCGTGCCCTTCCGCCCAGCCGACGATGGCGCAGAGCGGGAGCAGCGGGGCGTCCAGGCCGAGGCCGGTGCTGAGGAGCGCGCGAGTGTCGTCGCGGCGGAGCCGGGCGGCGTGGCGGGTGTCCGGGTGCAGGGTGATGTATTCCTGCAGACAGGCCCATGGGCGATCGCTGAGCAGCCAGGCGACGGCGTCGGTGTTGGCGTGCGCCACAGCGACCTCCAGCGGGCTGCGCATGCTGAGGTCCTCGCGCGAGGGACGGGTCGGCTTGGAGCGGCCCTCGGACACCCACGCGCGCTTCTTGGACGGCTTGGAGCGGCCCTCAGACACCCACGCGCGCTTCTTGGACCCGCGGACGGTGAGGCCTTTGTAGAACTGCGGTTTTTCGGGGGATGCGTCGGCGTCGTCGTCGTCGTCGAACCAGATGCCGAAGGCAAAGGTGCGCATCAGCTCCTCGAGCATGTCGACGTGACCAGGCAGCGCGAGCGCAAGGCGTAGCACGGGATACTCGGACGGCTCGTCTAAGTCCATGTCGCGCCCGGCGTACAGCAGATTCGTCGCGTCGGGCTGTGGCGTCGAATCATCATCATCATCATCATCCGGGCTATCCGGGACGTGGCGCATCGCTCCGGCGCGAGCGGCGAGGCGCCGGATCAGCGAAACGTCCTGCGTGTACACTGCGACGCTGAGCGGCCCCCAGCGACTGCCCAACTTCTCGATCTGTGGCGTCTTCTCGCGATCAGCGGGCGTCAGGTGCTCGTCGATGTGGTTGTAGGTTTGCAGCAGATACGCCCACGCAGACTTGCGGTGGCCCAGCTTGGCCCCGGGCGTCACGATTTTTGACGGCACGGCCGTGCGAACGGCGGAGGACACGATGCTCTCTCAGCCGATCTGAGGGCTTGGACAGGCTGTCTGAGTGTGCATCGTGTTCAGCGAAGCCAAATGATGTTCACTGAGTGTTCGAGCGTCACCAGGGCCCAGTTTGCACAAGCTCACATATTACAACAATTATGGAATAAATTAAGGCCTTATCGCGCGTCACTGTACAATTATGCTAACGCCACGCCTCCCGTGTGGATGTCCCCCTCTTCTCTGCATCCCACGTATCCCACGCAGTCCTCTGTGCCGCTGTCGGGCTCCGCCTGCAGATACTTTCCAAGCTCTCCTGATCTCCGCGACGCCGCAGATCAAACACCGGCGTCGGCTGCTCCTCGTTCACTCTGACGACATCATACAAGCCGTCGTAGCGATATCCGCAGCTCGGGCCCCACGTCCTGCAGCGCGCACCACGTATCACGCGCACCGGTTGTCCCGTGCGCAGCGAGTCGTACAGATACGAAGTGCTGGTGCCGCTGCCCGTGCTGCCGCTGTACTTCATCCTATCGCCGCGGTCCTGGTCTACGGATTCGTAGCCCGTGCCGTCGTTGGCGACGATCGAGAAGGCGCCGCTCTCACCCGCGCCGTAGATGCCGGCCATCGTGGAGCCGTGCGCGCCGGCGGACAGGGCGTGCAGGCGGTCGGGGAACCAAGCACCTGGTTCAAGCCCGTTGTGTCCGTGAGCACGGGCGGAGATGCCGGGTGTGGCAAGCATGTCGCTTTTGGCGGCCCTGAGCATAGCGGGGGTGATGATGTTGGGCGGGGGAACGAGCGGGGTGATTTCGGGGGCGGGGGTGGGAGCCGAAGCGAGGGGTGAGGCGGCATGGTTCTTTAACATCAATCGCTTGTGGAATTCGGCGGCCATGGTCGAGACCGGGGGCTGGAAAGGGGGATTGCGCAGAGTCTGTGTGAGGCGGTTATCAACGTCAGTCGCGGCATGAAGCATGAAAGGGAATGTGTATGTGCAAGAGAAGCCAATTGGGAGAATAATCTAACAGAAGGATGCACCAAATGGTAGCTTGTGAAGCTTTGCGCACTCATACAGATCTCCGCCTCTCAGATAGTTGCCTAATCCCGAAAGGATCCGACCGGCGAGCCACAAGGCTCGGGTCGGACCGCCGAGGCCCGGGCCGACATGCGGCGGCACCACGTGTCAAAACCTTAAGGAAACCTCAAAGCATCCAACAGCATTCCCCCGCACCAACGCCTCTCTCCCCCGCCTCGCCGAGAAAAGCCGACACAAAAAGAA